CTTCCCACTGGCGGATGATTATTTTGCTCGTTTTAAAGAAAAGCTCGAACTTAATTCTGATATTATTTCAGATAATGCTTGTCCTGATTGAAGAATTTGTAGATATCTTGACTAGAAGCAAGACAAAAACTCTAAGAAAAGCATTTTTTGCAGTGTAACTCTAGTGAAAAATTGGGTCACACTTTAAAGTAAGGTTATATCAGTTAGTGCATTTACTAAAATTAATGAACAATACATTTATTACAGTATTTGTTCATGTATTTGTTACACTGTAAAAAAAAAGAAATCCTTAATTTTACAGTTTATTTCCAACAGCTAGGATGCCGAAAATAAACCGTAAGATAATGGCTGTTAATTTAGAGAAACTTACTGTAAAATAACAGAGGTTGAATTACAGAAATTTACCAAAAATTTAAACTTAAGTAAATTTCTGTAATTTAACAACCGTTATTTTACGTTTTTACTGAAATTTACTTTTTTTTTTTTTTTTTTTTTACAGTGTAGTTAATGAAAATACAGTACAGTTTTTCATAAATCATGTTAACTCACAGTGCATTGACTAATGTAAACAAGCATGAATTTGGATGTTAAAGCTGCAGTAGGTGATTGTCTTCAGAAACATGTCTTGTGCTGGTTGAAAGTCTCTTCACATTCCAATAGTACAGATTAAATGATCCAAGTGTAATTATATGAATTTTAATATTCTGGATAAGGCATAAGACTAAAAAATTTTCATGCGATTAAATATTGTCCATAATGCTGATAAGTAGCCCAAATTGTCTGTCAACAAATGTAGATTTGTACATCTGCACCGGTTCAAGCAGATCTGCAGTTTGTGCGTGCACACGAGAGAGTGACAGCGGTGAAAACAAAGGCTAAATCAAAACTTTTTCAAATCCTGAATCAATATTGGAGTTACTTTTGGACGCTGGAGGACGGATGACACCATGGCATACCTGTCAAACAAGTTTTTCCTCTGGATTCTCCTGTATTTTACAGTTCTATCCCGCTATCAGGCGAAGCAGTGGCGCAATAGGTAGTGCTGTTGCCTCACAGCAAGAAGGTCGCTGGGTTGCTGGATTGAGCCTCGGCTCAGTTGGCGTTTCTGTGTGGAGTTTGCATGTTCTCCCTGCGTTCACATGGGTTTCCTCCGGGTGCTCCGGTTTCCCCCACAGTCCAAAGACATGCGGTACAGGTGAATTGGGTAGGCTAAATTGTCCGTAGTGTATGAGTGTGTGTGTGTGGATGTTTCCCAGGGATGGGCTGCGTAAAAACTTGCTGGTTAAGTTGCCGGTTCATTCCGCTGTGGCGACCCCAGATTAATAAAGGAACAAGGAATGAATATTCCGCTATCATCCTGTAAAGGTATTTTCCCGTATTTTCAATCTTTCACTGAAGGGTGGCAAATAAACAAAAAGAGCCATTCCTCCATATACTTAACCGATACCGCTGAACCACTACAGGACGCCCCTTGCTCTTAAGTGTGAATCTGTTCTGTGCTTTTTTTTTTTTTTTTAGGCATTAAAACACTTTTAGATAGATATAAAAAAGGAGAAATTCCCTCCCTTTTCATTACAGGCGTCTTTGCCCCTCCTATGCAATCCTCAAAACAGTCATGTAGCAGTGCGTGACTGTCAGCTGACATTCTCCATAGTGACAAATAGACGATGTTTCCCAAACAGATTCTGTACATGTCATTTGAAGCGGAGCGAAAGTGGACACTGGTTTTTGGATGCATATTTGAACACACATATGATATACACTAGGGATGCCACGGTTCTCAATATAATATTGAACCCAGGCCCGTGCAGAGACCGTCCAAAGGGCATGTGCAGGATAAATTTTTTGGAGAGAGAGAGGGGGGGGGGGTGTTGTTGTTGCGCGCGTACTGAAGAGCGGTGTTGTCGCGCGTCTACTGAAGGGCGGGACCGAGGGTGTGCCGCGTCGCGGGGGCAGTTTTGATCATTTTGGAAGGGCACTTTCTATCCAAGACTAAAAAGGGCATGTGCACTGCACAGGTTGAGCCCTATGTGTGCACGTGCCTGATTGAACCATATGGTACGACCTACACGGTTCAATATGCGCTTGTGAATTGTGGTTTTCTCTGTTTAGCGTTTAAATAATTTATGTGCGTTTTATATCTCCCCGAATTGACTGTGTGTGCCTCTAAATCCATGAGCTGAGATGAGGAAACTCCTCCCAGTGAGTAAATATCCAATCACTATGCTCTAGAGTTAGGGGGCGCTTGACCAAGCGGTGAAGTGAGGCGGAGGCAACAATACAAGGAAGCACCGGCGAAGTGAGACAACAGTACGAGAAAGCACCGACGTCTTTCTAATCTGCGGTGTGAGGACATTTCGGTTTTGCCGGTAAGTATAATGCTAATAAAAGAAATAACAGTGTTCAAAAAATAATTGTGTGCAAGCATTGTTTTACACGTATAACCATGACTGCACATCTGCAGTGCCATCACCTAGAAGTATCACTGTCTGAAGACTGTAACTGTGCTAGATACAGTGCTTAATTTGTGAACTGCGAGGTCCCGGAACAGATCGGGGTAACTGATCCGGTATGTTACCCGAGGATAAAGGGGTATTGCGGACGAAAGTGAAGAGGGTTGCCAAGAAAGTGAATAGCGAATGGGGGAGGAGGGCAGTTGAGGAGGGAAATCTGTAAAATGAGGTACAGGATCAGATTTCAAAGGTTACGGAGCCGCAGTGTTCTGGAACTAATTTGGCCCTGGCTAGATATCATACAGTTTTTCATTGGGAATTGTAGTATTATAAAGTACTCTAAAGTTTTCCAACTGGCGAATGACGTGATTGTGGCGAGGGGGCGTGGCTGAGAGCCGTGGGAACGGAGTGAGGCCACCGCTTAAGTGGATACACCTGCGGTGCGCACCTGCTTCGGATCCCACGGAAGGAGCTCTGGACGATAAAAGGAGGAACGATGGCAGAGGAAGCCGAGAGAGGACCGGGCCCGGACATATTTTACTTTTGCTTTCACGGAGCTGCCGTCCGTTTGTTTTGGTTTAGACGGCAGCCTCCGTGAGGAGCTGCCCGTCACTGTTATTAATAAATTATTTTAAAACTACGTCGGTTCTCCGCCTCCTTCTTCCCGGTGGGCTAAGGGCCGTGAACTTTATTACAGTGGTGTCAAAACCCAGGAGAAGGAGGGACGCGTTGTCCAGATGCCCTTGCCGCTGAGAGAGGGGACGAGTGTTCGGGAGTTAACCCGAGTGGGGGAGAAACCCGTTCGTCTGCCCAGAGTGCCAGGGCGGCCTGAGGCTGGCGAGGAAAGGATCTGCCTGCTGCCGTCTCCCAGCATGGGGAGGAGCAGGGGACGCGGGGCTCAACACCGGAGGGGAAAGTGCTGAAGGGAGCCATCCCACAGAACCCGGGGGAGTCGCCGCGATCCGCCATGATGCTAGAGCCTGCATTCGTCCACCGAAGCGGGAGCGGAGCAGGAGACCAGAGATGCCGCCAGCCAGCCAGAAGAACCGCCGCCGGACGCCAGAAGACGGACGGGTGGATAGATTCCTCCATAGGGCTCCCAGCACGTCGTTGCATCTCTCAGCTGGTGGAGGACCGAGTGGCAGCATGTCTGGAGAAACGAACCCCAATTTTTTTTTTCTTTTTCCTCTCTCCCCTTTCTCGGTCTACTCTGTCTTTCCTTCTTTTTTTTTTCCATCTCTTTTTCTCTCGGCCCGTCTCATATAGGTCTCGCAGGTGCTGTGGCGCCAAACCCTTTTACTTTTGCTTTCAGTTTGTTGTTTGTCCGTTTGTTTTGGCCGTCACTGTTATTAATAAATTATTTTAAAACTACGTCGGTTTTCCGCCTCCTTCCCGGCGGCCAAAGGGCCGTGAACTTTATTACAGTGATCTAGTGGGTTGTCTACGGTCATCTTTATGGTGCACATTCATGATTTCAGGAGGCGTGGCTTTGGACGGCAGCGGAGGTATTGTATTTTCAAAGATATTATTCTAAGCGTTGGTATTTTGGCAGATCACCTACTGCACCTTTAACTAAGTCTAATAGCTTAATAAATGCATTAGTAAATGTTGAACTGTTTAGTAAATGCTGTACAAGTATTGTTCTTATCTAGGTCATGTTAGTAAATATATTTACTAATGACACCTTTTTGCAAAGTGTGACCAAATTGTGGTATAAATTAGAAATTAATGCAAGTTAGAAGTCTGACTTCGGTGGCCCACACAACACTGTTAACACATGCTAGAGTGTCAATACTGTGATGTTAAATGATAATGACTTGCTGATCAGTATCCTGAGCATTACTCCAGTGTAAAAGTGTGCAGTTTAAAAGTAGTATTGCCGTCAGTCTAAAGGAGAGATTTACTTCCTAATAATGGAAGTGTTTTTCTGGATCTTCCTCTGCAGCAGGAAGTGAACACTGTACAAAAATATCTGTTAGTTATTTGCAGTTTCTTGTAATTCATGTTTTTATCGGTTGATTTCTGCGTCTGAATTGCATTATAGGAACTTAATCTTTCTCCCAACAACTTTAAACCTTGAAGAAAATTGAAAAAGTGACTTTTATGAACATTTGTAATAGTTTAAAGTGATGTATTGTCTGTGATGGTGTTGTATATTAGGCTACAAACATCCTGTTATAAACCACCAGCACATTTTCTGTTATTTTACAGACTTGTTTTGCCATATATACACATTATATTAATTCAAACATCTAAAATGTCAATAAAAGTCACTTTGTTAAACTGTAGAGTTGAATTTTCAACATTAAAAGTCGGTAGAGGAGGGATCAACATCCCATAATGCAATTCACAACCGTAAATAAACTGAAAACATCATTTTATTTGTTCATTTCTGCTTCTGAATTGCATTATGGGACTTTTATCTTTCTCCCAACAACTTTTAACCTTAAATAAAATAAAAAAGTGACTTTTATGAAAGTTTTTAACAGTTTAAAGTGATATATTGTCTGTGTTTGTGTTGTATATTACACTACAAACACCTTGTAATAAACTGCCAGCACATTTTCTGTTATTTTAAAGACTTATTTCTCTATATATGATCTCTTATATGATTTCAACCTACTAAAATGTCAATAAAAGTCACTTTGTTAAACTGTAGAGTTGAATTTTCAACATTAAAAGTGGACAGAGCAGAGATCAGCATCCCATAATGCAATTCACAACCGTAAATAAACACTTGTGAATCGCAAAATATGGAAGCAGTTAATGAGCAGATATTTTTTGACAGTGAATGTTGAGTTGTTTTGCTCTCAGTGCTGCTGGTCGGGTGGTCCGGGTTCAGATGGAGGTGACAGCCGCAGCAGGGGTTTGGAGGTCTGTCTTCCCAGAGGAAGAGTCTGCCTGTTTGTCAAGTCCTGTGTTGATGATGGTGTCCCGTGGATCTGGTTTGGGTTTGAGTTAATGAGATTCGGGCCTGATGAAGAGTCTGTCGAGTTTGGATGGATGCGTGTCATGGCCAGAAACTCAGCGTTCTGAAAAGTAAGAATTTATAGGGGATCTATTATGCAAAAATCACTTTTAAAGGGATCTATCTATCTATCTGTCTGTCTGTCCGTCCGTCCCTGTCTGTCTATCTATCTATCTATCTATCTATTGTTCTATCATTCTATCCATATATCCATCTATCTATCGTTCTATCCGTCTATCCATCTATCCATCCATCCGTCCGTCCGTCCATCTACCCGTCTGTCCATCCATCCATCCATCCATCCATCCATCCATCCATCCCTGTCTGTCTGTCTGTCTGTCTGTCTGTCTGTCTGTCTGTCTGTCTATCTATCTATCTATCTATCTATCTATCTATCTATCTATCTATCTATCTATCTATCTATCTATCTATCTATCTATCTATCTATCTATCTAGTGTTTTATCCATCTCTCGTTCTATCAGTCTATCCGTCCGTCCATCCATCCATCCATCCATCCATCCATCCATCCATCCATCCATCTCTGTCTGTCTGTCTGTCTGTCTGTCTGTCTGTCTATCTATCTATCTATCTATCTATCTATCTATCTATCTATCTATCTATCTATCTATCTATCTAGTGTTTTATCCATCTCTCGTTCTATCAGTCTATCCGTCCGTCCGTCCATCCATCCATCCATCCATCCATCCATCTATTGTTCTATCCATCTATCCATCCGTCCATCCATCCATCCATCCATCCATCTATTGTTCTATCCATCTATCCATCCATCCATCCATCCATCCCTTTCTGTCTGTCTGTCTGTCTGTCTGTCTGTCTGTCTGTCTGTCTGTCTATCTATCTATCTATCTATCTATCTATCTATCTATCTATCTATCTAGTGTTTTATCCATCTCTCGTTCTATCAGTCTATCCGTCCGTCCATCCATCCATCCATCCATCCATCCATCCATCCATCCATCCATCCATCCATCCATCCATCCATCCATCTCTGTCTGTCTGTCTGTCTGTCTGTCTGTCTGTCTGTCTGTCTGTCTGTCTGTCTGTCTGTCTATCTATCTATCTATCTATCTATCTATCTATCTATCTATCTATCTATCTATCTAGTGTTTTATCCATCTCTCGTTCTATCAGTCTATCCGTCCGTCCGTCCATCCATCCATCCATCCATCCATCCATCTATTGTTCTATCCATCTATCCATCCGTCCATCCATCCATCCATCCATCCATCTATTGTTCTATCCATCTATCCATCCATCCATCCATCCATCCATCCCTTTCTGTCTGTCTGTCTGTCTGTCTAGTGTTTTATCCGTCTCTCGTTCTATCAGTCTATCCGTCTGTCTATCCATCCATCTATTTACCTACTGTACCTATAATAGCTAAAGCCCAACATATTCCAAGACTATAAAAAACAAGTGCTGACTGGAGTCTGATGTTACAGTAATTGTATGAAACATAATCAATGTATTCAGCAGGTGGCACTGTATGTCTGGTCGTGTTATCTCATTATTGTTTCTCATTGGATGTCATGTTATCACACACACTGTACTGTAGGTGGCAGTAAAACACTGCTCAGAGTTCTCCAGGACATAAATATGAATTTCTCTAATATAGCTATAGCAATTACTAAAATGAAACTCTAATGAAATAAAGCAAAAAAAAAAAAAGTAGAGCATATGAAATGTAAAGGATAATCTAAGCATAAACTGAAAAGAACACACAATTAAAAGTACAATTAAATAACAATATAAAATTAACAAAACATTCCAGTAGTATTTAAAGGGGCAGTTCACCAGAAAAAAAATACAATTCTGTCATTATTTACTCTCCATTTACTTTTTCCCCCCAAACCTGTTTGACTTCATTTATTCTGTTGAACACAAAAGAGATATTCTGAATATACACTGATATTGACAATAGTATTTGTTTTTTTGGAAGTCAATGGTTTCAGGTTTTCAGCTTACTTCAAACTATCTTCTAAAAAAATAATAAATATTTATAACCACTTGAGGGAAAGTAAATAGTGAGTAAATGTTCATTTGGGTAAAACAGTCCCTTTAAATAATGCTGAAATAAGTTTGTGAAATTCTGCGCATTATTAGAAGCATACGTAATATTGTTGTTGTGTTGTCATAACAATATCTCTTATGATATGACTAATTAGCAAAATGCTATTCTATCAGAAATGTAAAAAATAAACATTTATTTTTGATATACAGTTGAAGTAAGAATTATTAGCCTCCCTGAATTATAAACCCCCTTGTTTATTTTTCCCCCAATTCCTTTTTAATGGAGAGAAGATTTTTTTAACACATTTCTAAACAAACATAATAGTTTTAATAACTCATCTCCAGTAACTGATTTTATCTTTGCCATGATGACAGTAAATAATAGTTGACTAGATATTTTTCAAAACACTTCTATACAGCTTAAAGTGACTTTTAAAGGCTTAACTAGGTTAATTAGGTTAACTAGGCATGTAAGGGTAATTAAGCAAGATATAGTATAATGGTTGAAAAAAATAATAAATAATATTGACCTTAAAATGGTGTTTAAAAAATAAAAAATTGCTTTTATTCAAGCCGAAATTAAACAAATTAGACTTTCTCCAGAAGAAAAAATATTATCAGACATACTGTGAAAATTTCCTTGATCTGTTAAACATTAGACCGGCCCCCCGCCTATTTGAGTTAGAGACCCTTGGTCTACAGAACAAACCACTGTTATACAATGACTTGCCTAATTACCCTAACCTGCCTAATTAACCTAGTTAAGCCTTTAAATGTCATTTTAAGCTGAATACTATTGTCTTGAAGAATATATAGTCAAATATCATGTACTGTCATCATGGCAGAAATAAAATAAATCAGTTATTAGAGATGAGTTATTAACACTATTATGTTAATGTAATAAAGTTCGTTGTGTGGGAAGAAGGAGGCAGTTAACCGACGCAATTTTTAAACTGTTTATTAATAACAGTGACGGCAGCTCCTCAGGAGACTGCCGTCTAAACCAAAACAAATGGACGGCAGCTCCTCACAGAGACTGCTGTCAAACTGAAAGCAAAAGTAAAATATGTCCGGGCCCGGTCCTCTCTCGGCTTCCTCTGCCATCGTTCCTCCTTTTATAGTCCAGAGCTCCTTCCGTTGGATTCGAGGCCGGTGCGCACCGCTGGTGCATCCACTTACGCGGCGGCCTCATTCCGTTCCCACGGCTCTTGGCCACGCCCCCTCGCCACAGTTAAGAAATGTGTTTAAAAAAATTTTTCCGTTAAACAAAATTTGGAGAAAAAATGGAGGAAGGCTAATAATTCTGTCTTCAACTGTAAAACTAATTTAATTTATAGCACTTTTCTGTAATATGTATATTTCATATACTGATATTGTGATAATTGTGCAGGACTAATATGTTGTTCTTCATGTCTGCCTTTCAGGGTGTTTCATGATGTACCTGTGGTGGGGTGTGTGTCTCGGAAGCACTTGGTTGGATTCTGATAGCAGGTCTCTTGTATTCGGCTGTCAGGCTGCTGTAGGCCGGAGGTCCTAAACACGTCTGTCTCTGCAGCAGCGTCAGGATACTCTGAATATCTGACGTCATCTGGTACTCCAACCTGGTGAAACACAAGTGTACAATTTCTGTTTAACAGAAAGATTTTCTTCAACACATTTCTAATCATAATAGTTTTAATAACTCATTTCTAATAACTGATTTATTTTATCTTTGCCATGATAACAGTAAATAATATTTGACTAGATATTTTTCAGACACTTCTATACAGCTTAAAGTGACATTTAAAGGCTTAACTAGGTTAATCAGAGGGTAACTAGGCAGGTTAGGGTAATTCGGCAAGTTATTGTATAATGGTGGTTTGTTCTGTAGACTATCGAAAAAAACAAATATAGCTTAAAGGGGCTAATAATTTTGTCCTTAAAATATTTTTAATAAATTAAAAACTGCTTTTATTCTAGCTGAAATAAAACAAATAAGACTTTCTCCAGAAGAAAAAAATTCATCAGACATACTGTAAAAAAATCCTTGCTCTGTTAAACATCATTTGGGAAATATTTAAAAAAGAAAGAAAAATTCAGAGGAGGGCGAATGATTCTGACTACAAATGTGTGTGAACAACAGTCACATCAACACATCAACACTCCTATTAGGCAAAGGTGCAGCACAATTATCAAATCTTGTATGACTTTATGTATATGATGAATTATAACACAGCTGTCTAAAATATTTGGTTCTGATTGGTCAGTCGTCACAATTCAATGCATGTTATTCCAAGATAACAATCGCTAAATAACACAGACTCACCAGGGGAATTCAAATCTTCTTAACCGTCAGTGAATACATTCACATCCATATACTTCCACATTCATATGTATCTTACGGTGGCTGAGAGAGCTAAACGTGCTACAATTTAAAAAAATACAGGCAGTTACAAAAAAACACCAGCAAATAAACAGGCAATCTTCATCGGTTTGACAGTATACTTGTTGCAAATCTTCACAACACGAACAAGTTAACAAAATGCGCTGCATTTTCTCACAACACTTGCAAATATAATGGATTTTTTTTTAAATGGAACTAAAGGAATTATAAAGGAATAACTAATGGAATTAAACACAATGGAAATGTTTCAAGGGGACCCTAAAATGTGACGGGACCCGGCTACTTAGGTTATGTTTATTTTGGCTAATAAAGTGCAAAATGAAATGAACATAAAACTGGCCTTTAAAAGATCAACTACATCTTAACTGAGCAATAGTCACAGCATAATAAACATTTCGCAGCAGGGTCCATCATGTTTTAGGGTCCCATTGAAACATTTTCGTTTTGTTCTGTTCTATTTGCAAGTGTTGTGAGAAAATGCAGGCATTTTTGTAACTTGTTTGTATTGTGAGAAAGTATAGTGTTTTTTATGAATTTGTCGAAAATGCAACACTTTTTTTTCTTTATTTGCTGGTGTTTTTTGTAATTGCATGTGTTTTTTAAATTTGCACCACGTTTAGCTCTCTCGGTCACCGTAGTATCTGCTTGTCTATCACACCGCAGTTTTTGACTATTTGGTGCCATCTGAATTAGTGTATACTCCATCAGCTGTTTTCTTTTCTGTCAGCTTCGTGTTTTTGACTGTTTGGCGCCATTTTGTGTCTGCATACTGTGTTTTTGACTGTTGGGCTCCATCTTCTGTCTGAACAATTTGCAGGTTAGTGTATACTGTAGTGTATACAGTGTATACAGCTGTTTTTGTTTCTGTCAGATTCATGTTTTTGATTGTTTGGTGCCATCTTGTGACTGAATAATGTGCAGGTTAGTGTATACTCCATCCAGCCAGTGTAGTTTCTGTCAGATTCATGTTTTTGACTGTTGGGCGCCATCTTGTGTCTGAATAATGTGCAGATTACTGTATACTTCCTCAGCTGTTTTTGTTTCTGTCAGATTTGCGTTTTTTAACTGTTTGGCACCATCTTGTGTCTGAATAATGTGCAGATAAGTATATGCTCCGTTCAACTGGTTTAGCTTCTGTCAGATTTGCGTTTTTTTGACTGTTTGGCGCCATCTTGTGTTTGAATAATGTGCAGGTTAGTGTATACTCCATCCAACCGGTTTATTTTCTGTAAGATTCATGTTTTTGACTGTTTGGCGACACCTTGTGAATTAAACATATTTAGATTAGTAAATGCTCCATTTAACTGGTTTAGATTCTCTCAGATTTGCGTTTTTTAACTGTTTGACGCCATCTTGTTTATTAATTATATTTAGATTAGTATATGCTCTATTCAACTGATTTAGTTCCTTTCAGATTTGCGTTTTTTTACTGTTTGGCGCCATCTTGTGTCTGAACAATTTGCAGGTTAGTGTATACTCCATCAGCTGTTTTAGTTTCTGTCAGATTTGTGTTTTTTAACTGTTTGGCACCATCTTGTGTCTGAATAATGTGCAGATAATTATATGCTCTGTTCAACTGGTTTAGCTTCTGTCAGATTTGCGTTTTTTGACTGTTTGGCGCCATCTTGTGTTTGAATAATGTGCAGATTACTGTATACTTCCTCAGCTGTTTTTGTTTCTGTCAGATTTGCGTTTTTTAACTGTTTGGCACCATCTTGTGTCTGAATAATGTGCAGGTTAGTGTATACTCCATCCAACCGGTTTATTTTCTGTCAGATTCATGTTTTTGACTGTTTGGCGACACCTTGTGAATTAAATATATTTAGATTAGTAAATGCTCCATTTAACTGCTTTAGTTCCTCTCAGATTTGCATTTTTTAACTGTTTGGCGCCATCTTGTTTATTATTTTATATTTAGATTAGTACATGCTCTATTCAACTGTTTTAGTTCCTTTCAGATTTGCGTTTTTTTTTTTAACTTTTTGGCGCCATCTTGTGTCTGCATAATGTGCAGGTTAGTGTATCCTCCATCCAGCTGGTTTAGTTTCTGTCAGATTCATGTTTTGACTGTTTGGTGCCATCTTGTGACAGAGTAATGCACAAGTTAGTGTATGCTTCATCAGCTGTTTTCGTTTCTGTCAGCTTTGCATTTAGTTAAAGAATTAATAAACTATCCCAGCTCAGAACAATGTTTTATGTGTAATTGTTAAGTTTTATGGCATGTGGCTGTGTAATAAGTGAGAAGAAATACATCCAGGATGTGTGTGTGTGTGTGTGTGTGTGTGAAGTGAGTGGAAGTATATTCATTTATTATAAACCTGACATTTAATTGTGCACATATCAATGTTACATTAATTTATGCAGTTGTATTAAATTATTTTTTAATCTAGCTGTTATTAAATAATGCATTTTATTTGAAGTGTACCGTGGTGTAGTCCTATCTTGTTGTTTTTTTGTGGCATGTAATATATCAAGGTCACTTTGTCACCAATAACCTTTTACTTTAATAATTGTGAGTCAATTCTGAAAGCTCTTTCACCACAATACATAATCAGCCAGGCTTCAAGTGGAAATACAGTACGAGCTGTTCATTCATGCACATTTCAGAAGCAGCACCTTACATTATTCATTAACAATGTTCTGAAACAGACACGCAGAGTTCATATTTTCATCCAGGTAATGGAGGTAACAGCGAGGACAGGCCTATCATTTATAGCTGATATAAGGGCTGATCAGAGTTCAGATGAAGCATTCAATGAGTTTAATCTGTGTGTAAGGAACACCTAGTCATTAAAGCCCCGAGCCATTAACTGCAGCTCTCCGAAAAAACAAAAGAACAAGACGCTCCTCCTTTTCTTACAGTCTCGTCTGGCAGCGTTTCAGCTCTTATTTCTGCGAAAAACACACTGTGAACTCCAGCTCTCTGCACTGAGGCTGTCATAAATCTTGCGTGTAGAAATACACAGCATGGATTGAATTTGGGAGACTGCATGTCATCTATTTCACACCGAAATCAGAAAGGATGACAGCACGGAGGATGTTAGTCTTGCTTTAAACTTACTGTTCAAAACGTGGTCATGTTGACTAAAGATTTGACCTAAAGTTATGCAGATAATCATTTATGGTGAAGTGTTTCATATAATGCTACAGTATGTAAGGGATAAAGTACATCTAGGAGGTTGTTATAATAGAATAGTCTTCACGATGTGAAATGTATTATTACATTAATCACTTCTTATTGGTCAGTTGCAACATTCCATGGTATGTTTTTCAAAGAAGATGACTGCTAAATAACGAAGGCTCATTCAGGAACTGGCAGACATACTGGAATTAATGTCATATACTGTGTGTGTACTGTATATACACCCTCTGGCCACTTTATTAGGTACACCTGTGCAACTGCTTGTTAACGCAAACTTTTGATCGGCCAATCACATGGCAGCAACTCAATGCATTTTGGCAAGTAGACATGGTCAAGACAATCTGCTACAGTTCAATCTGAGCATCAGAATGGGGAAGAAAGGTGATTTGAGTATTTCAGAAACTGCTGATCTACTGGGATTTTCACGCACAACCACCTCTAGGTTTAACAGAAAATGGTCCGAAAAAGAGGTGTACCTGAGTATTGTTGCTGACCATGTCATCCCTTTATGACCACAGTGTACCCACTGTCTGATGGCTACTTCCAGCAGGATAACCGGCCATGTCATAAAGCGCGAATCATCCCAGACTGGTCTCTTGAACATGACAATGAGTTCACTGTACTCAAATGGCCTCCACAGTCACCAGAACTCAATCCAATAGAGCACATTTGGGATGTGGTGGAAGGAGATATTTGCATCATGGATGTGTAGCTGACAAATCTGCAGCAACTGCGTGATGCTATCATGTCAACATGGACCAAAATCTCAAGGATTAAGGCAGTTCTGAAGACAAAAGAGAGTCTAACCCTATGCTGGTAAGGTGTACCTAATAAAGTGGCCGGTGAGTGTAACACTCACAATATACAAAATATCCATTTAAAAATATACATATTTACCATAATAGTACTTGCAAAAATAGGCGTCATCTTAAATGATTATCGAATGTTGAATTGTTTCTGTGTGCTTGTCAGGCTTCATCAGATTGTGTTCTGTAAGATGTGTGTGATATGGAGCTCAGCTGATACAGGCTTTTTGCTGCCTGATGCGTCTTTCTGTCTAAGCCAGTACTGCAGCTAAAAATACCACCTGCTGCGATTCTGCTCACCCTGCTGCTCCTGTGTGTGTGTGCGTGTGTGTATTCAACTGCTGTTATCTAAAATTGTTTTGTCAGCTGAGGCTAATTTTCATGTGCATGTGAATGATAGCCACAAGCAATGTTTAGTTTAGTAATGTTTATTGCGGGTACGCGTTTGGTTAGTGTAAATTGTTTTAGTGCACAGATGCCCTGGAAACACAGTGTAATGTACCGGAGGAGACTCGTCCTCCTCTCGCTAATGAAAACAAGTGTTTTCTTGCTTTCAGTTTGTCACTTCAGCCTAAATGGATCAACAATTGTTTTTTTTTTTTTTTTTCACATCACCACATCACCTCATACTTTAGGGCGTATGGTCCGTGTCTCTTTTGGTCACTGGATTTTCATTTTAGAAACGGATATTAAAAAACGAAAAACGAGCCATTTTTTCATTTTCGTTTTTGAATTAAAAAAAAAAAAAAAAAAACGGCTCTTTTTTTTTTAATGGTGAAAAACGAAAAAACAAAATTAAAAAATCATTTGACTTTCATTTTTTAATTTCAAACAACAAAAATAAAATCACCAGAAAACAAAAACAAATACAAGCTTGCTTTTTATATTCTGAAACCAGATAGACCGACTCATTCTCGGTAACGCAATGCTGCCACACACAGGCTAGCCTACTATAGGCTATTATTTTTTTCCCACTTAATATTGTTATAAAAGGTGTTTTCTTGTTATAACAGGATTTTGTTACAAAGTCGGCCAGCCAACTGAACCACACCTGAGCCCGATTGAGAGTGCACATTTCTCAAACGATCCGGGAAACGGGCCTGAGCACGGTTCGGATAGTATAGTGTGAGTGCGCCCTGAGTTTCTAATCAAATCTCCTGACCAATCAAATGCTTTCTAGTATCTGGCATGCCCCGCCCCCTTTAAAACGCTTCTCGTTTGTTTTCATTTTCACACATTTGATCTCAACCACTTTCACCGGCCTTTCCAGCTGCAACCCATCTCTGGGAAACATCCACCCACACACACACACACACACACACACACACACATACACACACACACACACACACAGACACACAGACACACAATATGGACAATTTAGCCTACCCAATTCACCTGTACTGCATGTCTTTGGACTGTGGGGGAAACCGGAGCACCCGGAGGAAACCCACACGGATGCAGAGAGAACATGCAAACTCCACACAGAAACGCCAACTGAGCCGAGGTTCTTGCTGTGAGGCGACAGCACTACCTACTGCGCCACTTCGTCGCCTGCTTGTAGATTGTTTATTACATTTTAAGTTTGATTTACCCATTTACAAATTCCCCCCAGTCAATCTAAAATGATCAGTTCTTTTCAAATTGAGCTGCGCTACTTGACAAAAGTCTTGTCGCCTATCCAAGTTTAAGGAACAACTAATAAACATTTGACTTCTAGTTGATCATTTGGTATCAGAAGTGGCTTATATGAAAGGCAAAGGCCTCTAGATTACACTTATTTTACCACAGTAAAATATGATCATGCCTTAATTTTAAATTATTTCATTAGGACAGACAAAAGCTAAGACAAAAGTCTTGTCACTGAACAGAAATAATGTTCAGTATAGAATACAAAGTCAGAATTCATCAAGACTCTTTGGATTCATCTTCAATGCCTCCTCCTTCATCTTACCTCAAACATTCTCTATAATGTTCATGTCTGGTGACTGGGCTGGCCAATCCTGGAGCAGCTTGACCTTCTTTGCTTCCAGGAACTTTAATGTGGAGGCTGAAGTATGAGAAGGAGCGCTATCCTGCTGAAGAATTTGCCCTCTCCTGTGGTTTGTAATGTAATGAGCTGCACAAATGTCTTGATACCTCAGGCTGTAGATGTTGCCATCCACTCTGCAGATCTCTCACACGCCCCCATACTGAATGTAACTCCAAACCATGATTTTTCCTTCACCAAACTTGACTGATTTATGTGAGAGTCTTGGGTTTATGTGGGTTCCAGTAGGTCTTCTGCAGTATTTGTGATGATTGGGATGCAGTTCAACAGATGATTCATCTGAAAACCTGTCGCTTTTGCAAATGATCAACTAGAAGTCAAGTTATTTTTTGTTGCACTTACATCTGGGATCAACGACAAGACTTTTATCAGGTAGCGTATTTAAGTTATCTGGTGAAATTGTATTCATATCGCATTATGTATTGCAGATTTTTTTTAGGGGGATTTTTCCAATATCGTGCAGCCCCAGAAAGTAACTTGCATTACTATAGAAATGTGCTGTTATAGGTTTGTGTTGCCATTGTTCATTGTCATCGGGCAGGTGTGTGTTTGTCTGATGTGAGTTTTTACCTGCTCAGGTGTTCCTGCAGCTGGTCCAGTCTGTTCTCCACTTCTCCATATGTGATTTCACAGTCCAGATCCTCCTCCTCAGCGCAGCACCGCTCCTGTGTGTCTGCTTTTACACTCTCAGACAGCCATCTGCCAGCCTGCAGATCTGAAACAGGCCAGTAGCACACACGTCACCATTTCTGATACTGTAACTGATTTTTTTTTTCTCCTTGACATGATGACAGCACATAATATTTGACTAGATATTTTTCAAGATTCTAGTATTCAGTTTAAAGTGACATTTAAAGGCTTAACTAGTTGAGTTAGATTAAGTAGGCAAGTCATTGTATAACAGTGGTTTGTTCTGTAGACAATCGAAAACAAATAATGCTTAAGGGGCTAATGATTTTGACCTTAAAATGGTTTTAAAAAGGGATGAATACTGCTTTCATTCTGGCCGAAATAAAACAAATAAGACTTTCTCCAGAAGATAAAATATGAAGTACTGTATTTCCTTACTCCATTAAATAACACTTAAGAAATATTTGTAAAAGAATAAATGTTTAACAGGAGGGCAGATGTTACATGGAGGCATGGAAGTAAAATGTCTGCTTTCATTTTTTAAAGTAGTTTAAAGAATATATATATATATGTGCGTGCGTGCGTGCGTGCGTGCGTGCATGCATGCATGCATGCATGCATAGTGCTCAGCATAATTTAGTACACCTCATTTTGGAAATGAACATTTTTCTTCATTTCTCAATGAATATAGGCAATGGATTTTGGTGCATTAAAACAAAACAGGTTTATTTACAAACATATGTTAACAAACATATTTATCAAAAGATAATACAATTAATTTAATACAATTAAATTAAATTAAATATTGCAAAAAATTAAATTACAAACTACAAAATTTCATCAAAATGTTTCCTGTTTTTTTTAGTTTTTCCTCTTTTTTCAGATTTGTATTGAATATTTTTCTCTAACATAAATTTGGCTGTATTAGTTTTTGGTCCGTTATCGTAAGTTATTTTGTCAGATAAGCTCCAGATTTGGCTTCAGTACTGACTAATCTAACGTATAAGCACAAATATAATATTGTATAGCTTCCTATTAAAAATATGGCATATATAAAAAAAAAAAAAAAAAAATATATATATATATATATATATATATATATATATATATATATATATATATATATATATATATATATATATATATATATATTTTTTTTTTTTTTTATATATATATATATATATATATATATATATATATATATATATATATATATATATATATATATATATAT